GTGGTCTAGGAGCATTAGATTGTGACTGGTTGCCAGACTTTCAAGCTTGAGATTGCTGCTGCGATTGATTCTGCTGTCTTAACTTAGGACATTGAGCCTTCCAATGACCTTTCTGCTTACAAAAATTGCACTCGTCGAACGCAGGCCTTGTGTAAGGCTTATTCTGATTATGAGAGAATGGTTTAGAAGGTACTGCTAGCACAAAAGAATCAGAAGTAGAAAGAATTCCCTTGTTAGAATAAGACTTAAGACGTATCTCTTCAACCAATAACTCACTAACAACTGAGTCAACAGAAGGAAGTGGAGAACGATACAAAATTGAACCTCTAAGACCTTCAAAATCACTATGAAGTGTCATTAAAAACTGTACGAACCGTTGCTGTTCTCTATGAGCAATATAGGCACCACATGCCTTTAATTCAGCCAATTCTGTAAGAGCCAATTGATCCCAAAGATCTATCATAGCAGAATAAAACTCCTGAATACTCATATTCTTCTGTTGAAGAGCTCGTATGTCATGCTCCAATTGATACTGTTTTACAAAATTTGATTGAGTGAATAACCTTTGCAGATGATCTCAAACCTCCTTTGTTGTCTCATACTTTTCCAACTGCGTACCTATAGAATGCTCAACAGAATTGTTGATCCAAGTAATAATTTTTGCATTGTCTGCTTACCAGACATCTATCAAATCAGCATAACCCGTATCAGTATTCTTAGGTTTCACAGAAGTTCCACTAACATATCCCCATAGCTTTTTACCCTTAAGAAAATTTCTCATCACATAACTCCAATACGAATAATTCTTTCCATCCAACCTCACACTCACAGACTGAAGCGAATCGTCTCTTGCAGTAGCCAAAATCAACAAACAAAAAAAACCAGATTGCATGCAAAAACAAAACAAATACAATAGATAAAAAAAATAGGAGGCTAAGGTTTTATTGATACTACATAATTCAATTGAATACAAGGAAGTAAATTAACCTAAATACAAAGAGACTATATATAAACTAAACAAGGCAAGGAAAGTAAAGGACTATTCTACCCTTAATAAACAAAATAACCCTATATTTCTTAATAGTGCTAATTTGCAGGGTGCTGTTGTTACCACTATAGGATTGTTTAGGGATGCACCGGATGTGAATATCCATGGCTTCAATACAAAAAAAAAAAAAACTAAGAAGATCTATGCTAGCATTAAATAAAGCTATTCTGGCAGGGACATCAAAAGAAAAAGAATAGGCTAATGGTCATTGAGTTCATCAGGTTGCTGGAAGAGGAACTTGAGAAAAACAAATCATTCTTTGTTGAGTTTAACTAAGTGCAACTACTGAATGTTTGTCTTATTGCCTATGCCAGACTCTTGCAATAGTTTAATTTTGTTGTTAGTGTGGTTGTATTTGGAGTAATGACTTTTTTAGCAGAATAAGGCTATTGTTTTATAAATTTAGTCAGAATAATGCTATTGTGATATTAGTCATTACTCATTCTCAAAGTTCATTAGGTACTAAAATACTCTTTCTTCAAAATTAAGCTCCTTTCTTTTCAGATCATTAGTATTTTGTTGTTGTTTACCACTTTTCCCTTTCCCTAAATTTTATTAATTAAGTCTTTAAATATTGTTATTTTAGTGTACTTTTAGTATTAGTCTCTAAATTTTAGTATTAGTCATTACTCATTCTCAAAATTCATTTGGTACTAAAATACTCTTTCTTTTCAGATCATTAGTATTTTGTTGTTGTTTACCATTTTTATCCATTTATGTAAAGTTGAAATATGCAATCCAACTCAAATTATTCATTTCTTTACGCCGCCCTGGCACCTTGCCCCCTCCTTCCTTAGTCCACCTTTGGTGATCTAAGCTTTCTGAGTACATGATATTTTTCTTTCCAGTTCTACTCAGCTTAAAACAGAGCATTGAGGAATCTCTGCAAAAGGATGATGTGAAAGTGATTGTTATAATAGGTAAACTTGAAGAGTACTTTCTTTTTTAATTGAAATGGATGACTATAAAGTTATGAGGCTAACACCCTAGCTTTATCTGGCAGGGTCATACGGAAAGCTCTCAGCAGAATTCGATGTGACGTCTTTCAGTGGAATTCGAGGAAGAAAGAGTATGAATTGTTGCGTGTTCATTTTATTGGATTTAAATCTAGTTTCTCTGTTATATCTACATTGTATGTCAATAGAATTTGTCACAGACACTTCAGAAGGTATACCACTTTTTGATTTTCCTGTTATCTCCAACTTCTCCTAATGTTTCACTTATATGATAACCATTTGTTTGATCCATTCACTGGTTAGCTGCAAGAAAACCTTTAGTTGCCGCCATTGATGGTTCAGTTTAAGGTGGTGGATTAGAGGTTGCACTTTCAATCTTCTGTCAATTGTGCATAAACAGATCAGGAGGTTAGGAGTACAAATAATTTGCAAAGGGAACAGATGCAAAAATTTTGTAACTGATCCAAGTCCAAGTAAAGAAAGAGAGTTGTGTTATGTAACTGATAGCCACTGTAAAACTTGTGAATGAATCTACTTCTATTGCAAACGAATATTTCTAATTTTTTGATTTACTCTATTTATTATAGATGTTAGGTTCGCATTAAATGTAATGTTAAATCAGTAGTAGGTAATCCTGTTGCTTAGGGCAAGAAACAAACATATATATCGTCACATATGCTCAAGTTGTTATGAATGTGAAATCTAATAATAAGAAAAAGAAGCAAGAGAAGATGAAGAGTGACCAATTTTTTATTAGAATTCAATTCGTTCGTTTCATGGTTAAAGTTTCTTGATATCGAAATTAGTGTGTGGTCTTTATAAAATATTAAAGAGTGAGTGGTTTCATTAATTTTCCAAGTTTGTTTGTTTGTGTATATCTATTGTGTATTGATTAGTTTTCACAAAATTTACCAAATAATGATTAGTTATGGCTTCTAATTGTTGCGGTAGTGGTTAATGGGGTTATAGTAAGATAGGACTCTGGGGTGATGGTGAGTCCCATATTGGATTGTGTTTTCTTCAAATACATGGTTTTTACAAATTACATTATTAGATATGTACAATTTTTTTTTATAGAGATTGTTAGTACACAAGATTATTTTTTTTAGTATAACTCCTTCACATTCTTTCTATTCAATAGGGTTCTTTGAGTTGATAGTGACAATGGTATTATTTTTCAAGGTATAGATTGTTGATTCTATTTACCTTCTTGAAAGAAAATTACTTATTTTTTAGTGTCTTTTTTCACTCCATCTTAAAGATTGTATTGTAATTCTTATATGTTAATATTTGCAATTCTGTAGGTATTTGTGGGTGTATTGTTGGGTTGGTTGAATGAGTGGTACATACATGGTCTAACAACACAAACGGTAGTGTATATAGAAGTCAAATGATCCATATTGAGTGTACTTTCTTTATGATTCTTCCAATTCTTTTATTGGTTTTTACTATGAATGGTTCTTTCAATACTTTTATCGGGTTTTATTAGATGGGCACACTTTTGCAATTTTCTTTTTCATCTCCTATTTTTCCAGGCAGGAACTCTTATTTTTCTTCTCTGTTTTTTAATAGTAATTTTTTTGGGTTTTTCCTCTCCTATGTGCAATAGCTCTAAAGTCTATTTTTAAATTCAATTTTTATCCCAGCAAACTAACTTTTTAAAGCCAGCCAGTATACAACTTTTATCTTGTGTGGTTTTTTTTTTTCGGCCACTACTCTTCAGTTTTTCCAAGTAATTGCTCAGCCTTTTTTAATGACTTTATTTGGGCATAATTTGCAGTCCTAATGTGTTAATTTTATTTATTGTGACCGTCGAATTATTGTTATGTATTGAACTTGGACATCTATAATATAAAATAGGGCGATTTTAACAAATAAATCTAACGGCCTAAAATTCATTCATCCAACGGCTACTAATAATTCATTCATCCAACGGCCACTAATAATTCTATCATTTCCCCCCAAATTCATCTTTTTTCACTCATATTATTTTTCAAAACCAGACCAGCCTTAGTCACTTCATCTGTTAGATGCCACCTCCCATACATCTCTTTTTTTTTTTTCCTCAAAATCGGACCTCTCTCTTTTTTTTTTTTTCATTGTTGTTTCTTCTTTTTTTTTTCCTCCGTCAGTCCCCTCTCTCTTTCTCTCTCTCTCTCTCTCTCTCGCTCTCTCGCTCTCTCTCTCTCACACACACACACACACTAACCCCCCATCCTACCCCCACCTCTTCTATGCTCTCTCTCTTTCCCTCTCTCTCACACACACACATATCTTAGCTTTGCTTTGCAGCAAACTCTTGGATGTTTTCTGTGATGCCATGTACAGTGATGCCATGTACAGTATTGTGATTGTATTGTGTTTGTATTGTGATGTCATGTACAGTGGTGACTAAGGCTAATTGGGTTTGTTGGGATTTCCCTAGAAATGGTATTTTGAAGTTAAATTTGGATGGGGCGGCTAAAGGGAATCCTGGAAGAGCTGGGGGTGGAGCTGTGTTGAGGGGTGATTGGGGTCGTTTGATTCTGGCAGGTTCCTTCTTTTATGGAGTGTGTTCAAATATTGAAGCTGAATTTCGAGCATTATTGGGTGGGCTAAGATTAGTAGAGAGGTATGGCTTATTTGTTTATAGTGTTGACATTGAATCTAACTCTTTGATTCTTGTTAATACTTTAAAAGGAGATATAGTTTGTCTTTGGTATTTAGCAGGAGTTTTATTTCAAGTAAGGAGACTGCTGAATATGGCAGAACATTCTGTTAAGCATGTATATAGGGAGGCGAATTCAGTTGTTGATGGGCTTCCCAATAGGACGGTTGCTGATGGTTTTTCTTCAGATTTGTCTGGGTCCATTATGCCTTCGTCTGTTCAGCTTAGATTGGATCAAGATCAGAGGAGGCTGTCTGTGCTGCGTACCAAGAAGCTGTTGATTTTTGATTATTTTGGTTGACGCAGTATAGCTGGATTGTTATGGTGGAGATGGATTTGGATTGTGAAGATGGAAGGTTTTTTTTTTTTGCCTCAGTTGCGTGTTAGGAGAAAGTTGCTGAATGAAGTCTGCCATTGAAGAAGTATTATAAACAGATTTTTCTGTTTTGCTTTTTTGTAACAGATTTGTTTTGTTTTTCTTATAACAAAAATTTTCTGTTTGTAGGAGACTTTTCTGTTTTGTAACAAAAAATTCTTTTTTTTCTTGTAAACAAATTTTTCTTTTTTTTTTATTCTTGTAATTTCTAAAATTCATTCAATAAAATTGCTTTGGTTTAAAAAAAAAAAAGGGTATGAGTTCTTATTTTTTTATTTTTTTGAATTCAATAGATATTTGATTGGTTTATAGTTTGATGCTAGGTGATTGGATGCAATTATGGTGTTGGGTAGTGGTGCCATTTTGGTGGTGGTGGTGGTGGTGGTGGTGGTGTCAAACATTATAGGTGAGCATGAGTTAAGGTGAGAATATTTAATGATGTTACTTCCCTGATAGACAAACTAATATTGGGTCCTCCTCCTTATTTTTACTTTTATTGGGTTTCTTAACTTATTTTCGTTTGACTTTTGAAATTCTATTTGCACATTGTTACTGTTTGTGCAATTGTTGCTCCATGAATAATTGAATTCTATGTTTTTGTTCTCTTTGTTACTCATCGAACTATAGTACTAGGACTTGGGTTAGATTGCATTCTAATTTAGATATACTTAATAAGTGTCTAATTGTTCATTTTGAGACTTTATAACTTTTGCTACTCTATTTTGCTTTTTTGATTCAATTGCAATTTAACTATTTTTCCTCTTTCTATCATCATCTTGGTTATGGTTTATGATCTCAATCTACACTAATAAGACACAAGTGCATCTTTATATAAATTGCTGCTATGTCTAGGGTTTTCATATATTGTTCTATCTACTTCACCATTTGTGTTATAATTACTGTCTAACATATTATGAAATGAGATTTATGTATGAACTACTAAAGTGCACTTCAAGGTTAGGTTGTTCCTCTTAATTTAAATTTCATTTTGTTGGACTTCCTTAGTTTTTTGTTAGGTGTTCTACTTATCATTTTTCCGGTACTTAAGAATTCTGAAGAAGGGTAATAGGTGAGTAATTAAATATCCTCCCATTTTCTATATCGTTTAAGGTTTTGGGGGAGTTGGGGGGTGAATAAGGCTGTAATTTTAGAATGGAATCGTGACATGATATTGGTGTATTTTGGGTCGTGCTTTCTTTGAACATGCCTATATCACTTACGAGCCTTTAAATTCTTTTTGAATTGAATTGATTTTGCTTTCTTTTAAGTAACTTTCTTGGTTTTTTTTTTTGTCATTGGTGGCTTAATCTTGAACTTCATCTCTTCTTTTGCCTTGTGTCATTCTTTGTGTTACTGTTCAATATAGCGTGTGACAAATATTTTGATAGCCCTTATATGTCTCTAAATGTGGTTATATATACATGTGCACCTTATATGAATTGTTGTTGTGTATGGGTTTCCATACGTTGTCGTTTTACTCTTGAAATTCTTTCTACTTCAAAATTTTTGTTTTAATTATTGTGTAACACACTCCCTGTAGTGAATTACAGTCAAATTTTCTTGGTTTGTTGTCACTTTGAATTTGATTTGATTAGGTTGAATTTGAATGTGCTTGAATTGATTGTTGTTCCATTGGTACCATTGAGGTTACTTAACTTTTTGCTTCCGAGTTGTGCTTATTCAATTTGTTGTTTTATTGTCATTCCTTTACCTTTGTTTGTGTGAAATTTAGAATTTTGACACTTTGGTTTGTGTAAACTTTAGAATTTTGACATGTTGAAATTTAGAACTTATGTTAGTTGATATTGTCGTAGACCAAGAAGGGGTTCTTTATCAAATGGTCTTACTATCCTTGTTGTGCTTCTTTATTTTGTTGTGTTTGACTTTTTACATTGCACGCAGTGAATGCTTATGGAAGTGTTGATTTGAAGTTAATTTGTGTTTAATTTTTTTTTTCGTTACAGGCCTGAAGTTTTGGGTTTCAATGTTTGGTGGAATAAAGAAACTATCATGTGACCTTAATCCTTTGGCTTGAGAGGCCCCTGATTTCATCTATAACTTCATTGTCTAAGCCAAACTCAACTTTCGTGCGGTTATGGTAAAACACAACAACGTGGGAAAGTGGCATTATTGACCCTTGTGAGTTGAATATATTTGTTGTGAATTATGATGCGAATTAGTTTTCATACTAACATGAATCGAAATTTAAGTTATGAAAAAAACCCATTATTGACCAATTGAGTTCCAAGTAGTGTTTTTTGTTGAAGTGTTATGGTAAGTTTTCCTAAATGTTGAATTAATTTGAATTGACATATAATTCATGGGATGCCATTTGTAATTAGACCAATCTACATGGGTGTATTTGTAATTAGACCAATAGTATCTTAAACAAGTTGTTTAGTTAATCTTTTTTTTTTAATTTTGTATTTGTTTATATACTTTATTTTTATTGGCAGGTAGCTAACGTGCTTGATCACATCTGTTTTGCGTTGAAAAATTGGGTATGTTGCTTTTAGTTATTTTGTATTTCTTTACTATGTTTCCTTATTATTGAAATTTCTGAGTGGATTTAGAATTAATTTTTTTGGAGGTTGAATCTGATTGGTTTCTTTGTATATTATTAGTTGATACTAAGCTTCTATGTCGTCTTTGGATTGTGTAATTAGCGTTACAGGTTGATATTTTCTTGGGATCCTATTTTTAGGGGAATTTTTGTTCAAATTTTTTTAAAGAACAAAAAATGTTTTGATTAAATATTAGTGATTTTTGTATTCAGCATAACACAGTGTTTTTTGGCATTGACATTTCTTTTATTGACCCTACAAGTTGATTTTTGAATAAATATTTTTGAGTACTATTGTTAGTTCTAATTAGGTACGTAGTTTCAAAAATGTGAATTTTATGTTTTTTCTGTTAAAATTTATGGCATTTTGATAATTAAAGTTAGGCATTTTTCATCTCTCTATTGCAATTTGTCTTCAAGAGAATCTTTATTAAGATTAAGGATGTATGTAAAGTGTGGTGTATTAAGGATTCAATTTAAAATTTTAATTTATTGCGGTTATTTTCGATGTTTAATTAATTATAAATTGTACCATGTCTTCAGATACGAATTATCGCTAGTCCTATTATAAAAGAGCCAATGTAACTTTTGGAAGCTTTTACTCAAAAGAACAAGAGCTTTTTCAAACTTATACCCAAAACGAGGCTAGTTTTCAAACAATAGTATTGAAGCAAAGAATAGGAGAATAGACGTCGCTAAAAGGAGTTTATGGAGGGACGGTGAAGCGTATCGTGTTCTTCCCGGTATCCTCTATTGCATATACGGACCATATTTGTTTACGTGTTCTCTCTCTCTCTCACAATATATTTCAATGTTATCAGAATTAGATCGAATCGACCGTTTAAACTGTGAACCAAGACCTCAGTCGATCCGATTTTTGAATTGAACCGCTTAAGAAGTTAAACAGGAATAAAACTGTCAAATCGGCCAATTTTTGGCAAAAATCATGAACCGGATGAGTTAAACAGGAATAAAATCGTCCAATCAGCCGATTTTTGACAAAAATCATGAATCGGACGGTTTAGTCAAACCGGACGGTCCAACTTCCTTTTTCATTAAACACCACCCCCCCCCCCCCCGCGCAATTCCTAATTTTACCCTAATTCCAGTCATCACCATTGTCTTCTCCACTCAGGCGTTGGTGGACCAGACCAGACTGTATACGATTCAGACCAGACCAAGCTTCACAGGTCAAGCTCATTCACAGGTTCTCTGATGAAGCAAGGTCATTTTGGGTTTCGAGAAACGGGAATGCGACGTGGCCGAAGCACAGGAGCTTGGAGTACTTTAGGTTGCTTCTCAGTAATGATTTGAAGCGCCAGAGACTGAAGCTCGGCTCGCAGAATCAGCTTTTGGTTTCGTCGAAAGGAAGCAAAACTTCGTTCTACGGCAATGACTTGGGATGGTGAGTCTCTGTGTGTGTGTGTTTTTTGGTTAAAGGTCTTCATGTTTTCTGGGAAATGGTGAAAAGGGAAAAACGAACGAGGAAGGAATAATTTATGGTAAATTTTATGTATTAGTTACATATTTTATATTTTTTTAGTTAAATTATTATGTTTTATAATTTTTTTATTTTTTTATTATTCGACCAGTCCAACCAGTTAATTCAATGGCTAAACTACTAAACCATTGACCCGGTCTTTCTCCCGATTCGATGTCCGATCTCATTCCGATAACTATGATATATTCTACCATCCTTTTCTCTCTCTAAAAAGTCTTTTTAATTTTACTGGGATGTCGCTTTACATTCTTGGACAGCTCTCACTCTCAGTGACCATTCTTTTTTTTTTTTTTTTTGTTTTTCCATAGGAGTGTCAATCGTGTCGGGTTAAACGGTTACGTGTTTGGTTAAACGGGTGATGGGTGAAAATGTATAAATTCATACACAACTCGCTTAATAAATGGATAAAAATTTTAACACGAACACGACTTGTTTAATAAACGGATAACACGACACAACTCGTTTAACCTGTTTAATTTTTTAAAAATTATATAAACAAATTTTAATACTCTATTTTTTTTACTGCAAATTACATTTACCTAAAAAAAGAAGATTTTTTTAATCAAATCTCATAAAAATAAGATTGAAGATTTTTTTTAAAAAAACAAGAGGTCATTACCTTTTATAAGCAACTCAACCCTCTCATCTCCCCTCATTTTTCAATGTGGGCAAAAGATTTAGAAAGCAGGCAAGAGACCATTGTCTTTTATAAGCAACTCAACCCTCCCTATTTATATCTCCTTATTTTTCAATGTGGGACAAAAGACTTGAAAGCTTTAACAATCAAAAGCAAGAGGTCATTGTCGTTTATAGGCAACTCAACTTCCCCATATCCCATCATTTTTCAATGTCGGACAAAAGACTTAAAGGCTTTAAAAATCAAGAGGTTTGAAAAAAAATCAAGAGGCAAGAGGTCATTGTCTTTTATAGGCAACTCAACTCTCCCTATCTTTCCTCATTTTTCAATGTGGGACAAAAGACTTGAAGGTTTTAAAAATTAAAAGGCAAGTGACCATTGTCTTTTATAGACAACTCAATCCTTCCATCTCCCATCATTTTTCAATGTGGGACAAAACAAAAGACATTTGTTTGCATTTGTTTTTAAAGTGGTCCTCATCTCCTCTCATTTGTCTTTGAACTACTATTTTTTTTTTCTCTACTTCTTTTTTTCTTATTAATTTTTTTAAATAATAATTAATTTATTATTATATTAATTTTATTTAAACGGGTAAACGTGTGATAAACGGTTTGACAAATCTCACCCGAACACGACCCGTTTATTACACTTGTTAGCCCGTTTATCACCCAAACCCGCTTAATTCGTGTCGATTAATCGTGTCGTGTTAAATTTTGACAACCTTATATTACAGTGTTTTTGCGAAGAAGCTGCAGTCTCTGACATATACGTCTCTACGGATACTACCAAATTAGAAATTATTATTCTAATTTGAAAACATAATTTTTGAAGAAAAGACTCACACTAACATGACGTAACTGTGTAGTGTAATGAGAAAAATCAAAGGAATAAAACCCAACTTTCTATATGGGACAATTATTAGGAGTGTCAAACACAATCCGTTAACGTGACACGAAATTTAAAGGTTTAAATTTTTTTTAAACCACTTGTTTAGTAAACGAGTGGACTTAATATAATGTAATTAATAAATGAATCGGGCATAAATGAAATCGATCGAAAGAAATATATAACATGACTCATTTATATATCATACGACGTGAACTCAATATAACACGATTTGTTAGACATTAATTAATAAATAAATCGGGTATAATTAAAGTGTTTTTTAACATGAATCCGTCTCACCTGACACGATCGACAAGTTTAGAAGTTATTATATATCATGGATGAATAGTTATTTAATTGTGTGTATTCTACTTGCCCACTTATTTTCTTATTAGTTGACGGTTACATCATTTCAACGTGATGATATAGTGTCACTGTGATATCTAATATTTTTCCAAATTGTGGCATGTGTTGCAAACTATTTTTTTCTTTTAAAAAAATGATTATTCTAATTTTTGAAAATATTATTTTTTTGCTCTTTCAATCATGAAGAAAGATAAACAATCAGATAATAACCAAATAAACGTTCAAGATTCTAAATGTTAAGTTTAAATATTAAAAGTTTGCCCTCTGAAATTCTCTTGAATGCATCATAGGTATATTTAATGTTTTTCATATGTATGTTTTATTTGATGCAATTAGAACTAAAATATGTTATCTTCATAACTTTTATAAGTTATAGCTTATTTGGTGAGGGACTGTTCAGTTGGTGAGAGACTGTTTTAGTTTAACCAAAGTCTTGAGTTCGAGTCTTGGGAACGTAATTGCGTTCAGTAGGGAGAGCTTTGCTGCCCTTGTGGTTTTACTTGGCTCGAATCCGGATTAGTTGGAGCCCAAAGTGATTTTCGGATACTGGGTAGTCTAACCAAAAAAAAAAAAATAAGTTATAGCTTATTTATAATGTGTATTTTTGTTTTGTAATTTTTCTAGTGATTTATTGACTTAGTCCTTTTGTCGGGTTTACCTTCTAATTGGGTTTTGTAATTAAGGTTTAAGATAAATGGTAAAAAAATACAAAGAAAATAAAGGGCTAAAGGAACAAAAAATATTATTGGTTAGATAGGTGGTCATATGAAGAGATCAAGTGAAATTGATATTACCGAGAAAACATTGCATTAGTGATCAAATTGTTTAGTTTGTGGTTTAAAAAGATGGAGACCAAGGGAAGCAAACCATTTTAAATTTTTAAAATTAGAGCTTGTGATAACAAACAATGCTCAAAATTGAGGCCTTTTAAACCATTATTGTAATATCAGAGGATCTATGTGTAATTAGTCTACAAAAGCATCATCAAATTCTAGAAAATATTTTTGTTATAATATACAAAACTTATAAAGTTGTTATGCCATTTTTCGATCTCAAGTTAATGAGGGAGAGGGGGATGAGAGAAAATGAGTTAGTGAATGTTTCAAGATCATTACCCGTCACCGTTAATGAAATAAATTATTTATATTAGCCAAAATCATATGAGAGTTACATATCTTCTTTTTTTGGGTTTTTTGGGTGTGAGTACATTTTTGTAGACTTATTTGAGAGGAAGTGTATGAATAAATATTTTATTCTATTAAGTTCAATTTTAATAAAATATCCTGTGATTAGGTACAAAATTCAAATGACTTTTGAATTTTTTTACTTACTTACCTTTCCTTAAATTATGCATAATTATTATTCTTTTACTTTCTCTCCCTCTCTCTCCATTACTCTGTCACTATCTCTCCCCTATTTTCTCCATTTCTCCATCTATCTCTCTCTCTCTCTCTCTCATTACTCTCCCTATCTCCCATTATAATTTATTTTCTTTTCAAATATGTAAAGATTTGATTTAATTTTTTCATTTCTCTCCCATATTTTCTCTTTTTTTCTCTATCACTCTCCCTTCCTTATTTTCTCTCACCGTTACTCTCTTTTCCTATTTTTTTCTCTCTTTCTCTCTTTATATCAATGTGACAACAACATAATTACACTAATCAGTTACATCAATCAATTACAATTGTCCTATAATACAGCAAACAGTTACTCTTGTGTTCTAATAAATCAAACAATTTCACCAAATAATATACAAAATTATAACACTAATTCTATTTATCATTCAATTATTTACATAAACCAAAACGTTTCACCATTTATTATCACGACATAGCTACACCAATTATATACACCAAATTTGGTGTAATGGTAAAGTCTTTGGTATAATAATAAACTCAATTTGATGTATATAACTGGTGTAATCAAGTCATGATACTAAATGATATAACTTTTTGAGTTATGTAAATAATTAAATGATAAATTGAGTTGGCGTTATAATTTTGTGTAATTGTTTAGTATAATTTTTTAGTTTATTAGAACATATGAGTAAATGTTTAATGTATTATAGAATAATTGTAACTACTGGTGTAATTGATTGGTATAATTGTGTTGTTGTAACGTTAATATAAATAGAGAGAATAAGGAGAGAAAGAGTAACGGTGAGAGAAAATAGAGAGAAAGAGATAAATGATTAAATGAAATCTTTACATATTTGAAAAAATAAATAAATTATCAAAGAGAGATAGAGAGATAAAATAAGGAAGAGAGAATATGGAGAGAGAGAGGGAAAACAGAAAGAAATGGAATAATAAATGGCATTTTAGTCTTTTTCAAAAAAATACACTTAGGGCCAAATAAATTTTTTTAATGTAGTTTAGCTCAATTAAGTTCAAATTTTTGCATCGGCTTCCAAATTATCCATTTTTTTTAGGCACATGGGATAAAATCCTAAACTAGTGTACTATAGTTTTGTGAAAACATGGTTTAAACCCACACTATGAATTGTAATAGTGTGTCTTTTTTTGTTTTCTGATCAAACAAAACTATGTCTTCAAAATGTGTGTTTCATGATTTTTCTATTGAAAGCGTGTTTTACGAGTAAATTTAACATTGAAAAGCGTAAACTTAAACCACTCTTTAGTGGACACTAAAATAAATTGGAAAATAAACTTTAAAATACAATACAAGAAAACTTAGTTTGAGTTTGAAAACTAGGGTATTTTTTTACTATGGTACCAAAAAGTACATTTCAACTAATAAAAATGCGTCGTGCGTATAATTTTCATATTTTATGATTCTTTATTACTTTATCAGGTTTTCAATCAGTAACTGCAAATCATCCACTTCAAAATCAATAATTGAGATTGATGACGGTATACTATGGCCTTACCCAACTTACATATGCTACATTCTTAAGAGAAATGTTAAATCATCACCCCTCTTCTTGTACTTGTGTCCTCCTTGTCCTGTGTGAGAGATAAAACAAGATGGTATGGACAAATATGACATCATGACTGAAG